TCTTCACACACACACACACACACACACACACACACACACACACACAATGGTTTTAGGGGCACCTGGATGGCTCAGTCCGTTAAGCATCTCCTTCGGCTCAGGTCATGATCCCAGGGTCCTGGGATTGAGCCCCGCATCGGGCTCCCTGCTCTGTGGGGAGCCTGCTTCTCCCTCTCCCACTCCCCCTGCTTGTGTTCCCTCTCTCACTGTCTCTCTCTCTCTGTCAAATAAATAAATAAAATTTTTAAAAAATGGTTTTATAATATCATTTTATGTAAAAAGAATAAGAAGAGAAGCCAGTCTTTCTCCTAACCTGGTTAATTGGAATTTTCTTCAGTTGCACATTTTTCCTCAGCAATGAAACCTTGCTTGGAGATGTAGAGCTTGATCTTAAATGGTATCTTAAAAGGACAGTGCTTTCTGCATGATCAGTTTCCTGAGGAGAAAGTCACAAGAGGATTACTCGTCCCAGAGTCACCAACCCGATGAGTGGTATCTCTCCCTTGCGGATGAATGAGCGTGGGTGTGGAAGGGCTCTTCAGGGGATAATCCCTCCTCATAGAACCAGAAAAGTGGATGATAAGCATTCTTTCCTACCTTGCTCAGCTTTTTGGTCCCATAAAATATTGGACTTAACCATGTCTCTCTCTGTCAAATAAATAATTAAAATCTTAAAAAATAATTAATTAATTTTAAAAAGGTGAAAATGGTAAATTTTAGGTTATGTATATTTTACCACAGAAAAAGAAAAAAGGTTCAGGAGGCCACCTAGAATTAAAAAGTCCAATCTGTTGGTTTTTCTTCCATGTCTCTCAGATAGATGTGCTCTCCCCACCCCTTATGCTCTGTGTCTAGTCCAGCTCCCCATCACACGTACCTGAATTACGTGTCTTCATCTGTCTGCAGGTGTTTCTTCTTACTCTTCCACATCTCTCCTCCACAGAGCAGCCAGAGGGGACCTTCAAAGTATAAATCCAACTGGGTCAGACCTCTGTCTACTAAGTAAGTGCACTGGGGGATGTTAGAGAACTTCGAACAAAGGAGCCCCACAACCAGATTTCCCCTATCAAAAAACTGACTTCCGTAGAGTAGTCAGATTGGTAAAAAAGACCAGAGGAGTGGTTCAGAGTTTATCAAAGCCCCGATTGCTGCCACAGCCCTCTGGAGTTTCTGAATCAGTGGGTCAAGGGGTGGAGCCTACTGGGATGGAGTAGAGAATTTGCATTTCTTACATGCTCTCAGGTGATGCTCACACCCACGTTGCTTCTGGGTGCCTCTGATCCCAGGACCACACTTTGGGATCCGCTGGCCTGGAGTGCGGAGCCTGATGTGGGACTCCATCTCATGACCCTGAGATCATGACCTGAGCCGAAATCCGAACAGTCCGACACTTAACCAACTAAGCTACCTAGGTGCCTCTAAATAGCTCTCTTGAGACATAATTCACATACCACAACTCACCCACTCAAAGTACACAGGGCAGCGTTTTTTTTTAGTAAAGTTACAGGTATGTGCAACTATCACTGGTCAATTTTTGGACCATTTTCATAACCTCAAAAATAAATCCTATGCTCTTTATCTGTCACTACCCTCTCTCCCCCTCTTGCCTCTCACCACCAGCCCTCAGCATGTTGAGCATCTTGTTCGCCTTACATTAGGCAAAATCACAGAGATTATTAAGGGTAGGGGAACAGGAAATTCTTGTTTAATGGGTATACGGTCTCAGGGAAGATGAAAAAGTTCTAGAGAGTGATGGTGGTGACGGTTTCACAACAATATGAATGTACTTAATGCCACAGAACTAAACACTTAAAAATGGGTAAAATGGCGGGTGCCTGGGTGGCTCAGTCGGTTAAGCCTTGTTGGCCATCTGTAGATCTTCTGTGGAGAAATGTCTGTTCAGACCCCTCGCCCATTTTTAAAATTAGGCTGTTTTTTTAATTTTTGAGTCGTGAGAGTTCTTTATATATTCCAGATTCAATTCCTTTACTAGATTACAGGATTTTCAAATATTTTCTCCCCTTCTGAGCACAAATGTTTTTAATTTTGATGAAATCTAATTCACCTGTGTTTTACTTTTGTTGCCAAGGTCATGAAGACTCACCTCTATATTTTCATCCAGAAGTTTTATAGTTGTTGCTCTTACACTTAGGTCTTTGATACACTTTGAGTTAATTTTTTGCATATGGGAAGGGATAGGGTTTAACTTCATTCTTTTTTTTTAAGATTTTATTTATTTATTCATGAGAGAGAGAGAGAGAGGCAGAGGGAGAAGCAGGCTTGCCCCCAAGCAGGGAGCCCAATGCAGGACTCAATCCCTGGACCCCGGGATCCCGACCCGAGCCAAAGGCAGACGCTCAACTCGCCAAGACACCCAGACACCCCTAATTTCATTTTTGTTCCATGTTTTATCCCAGCACTACTTGTTGAGAAGACCATTCTTTCCCCCACTGATTGGTTTTAACATTCTTGTTGAATATCAGTTGACCATAGACTTGGGTATCCATTTCTGGACTCTCCATTCAATCCATCGATCTATGTCTATCCTTGTGCCCGTACTGATTTGCCTCGATTGCTGTGTCTGCTTCAATGTTGTTACAGGATTTCATCAAATGCATTTTGATTTTGGAGATCTTAAAATGTGGAAAAGAATGGTCAGTACTTCCTATATCCCAATTTCAGAGATATTAAAGTCTTAGAATTGACTAAATCTGCTGTGTCTGGGGAAACGTTCTCTGTCCCCATAGACTGCTTCTCAAAGCACTGGTACTCTTCTGACTCAAGTCCTCTTAGAGCAGTGGTTCTAAAAGTAGGGTTTCCAGGCCAGCATCATCATCATCATCATCATCTGGGAACTTGTTAGAAATACGAATTAACACACCCAAACTTAGATGTATTGAATCAGAAAATCTGGGGGTGGGGCCCAGCCACCTTTTTTTTAACAAGTCCTATTGGTGATTCTGATGTACATCAAGTTTGAGATCCTCTCAGTTTATAAGGTCCATGAAGACAGGAACTATACCTTTCTTGTCACTCTTGTGTCCCCAATACCCAGCAGGGAGGTGGGAGTTGGGGGATGGTGCCTGGCATGGATTAATGATCAAGGAAAGCTTGCTGAATAAATAAATAAAGGAAATAATGGGACTTGCCCAAGGTCCCACAGCCAGTAGGTAAGTGTTTAGAGCTAAGTTACTTCTTTCTGCCTTGGTTGCCTGGTTTCTGGTATGAGGTTAGTAGGAATAGCCTCCTAACCCATTCAGCAAACATTTGTTGAGGAATTACTATGTGCCTAGTATTTTTCAAAATTTGGCCAAATGTTCTAGCTTTGGTCATAATTGATGGGGCATCAGTGGACAGCTCTTTAGGATAATTAAAAGAATTGGGTAAAGTTGGACTTTATGAAACACCAGGGGGAGCCTTGTGAAGGAGAAAGTGGCAGACTTGTAGGGCAAGCCAAGCCAGCATAAGGGCACTTAATCTATTTTTTTTAAGAGTAAATTTGTTCAAAGTTGCCCATAGAATGAATTTCTATAGATAAACCCTTCTTTCCATTAGATTTCATTATCTTGATATTTTCATTACCCAAGCATGATAAAATTACTCTTAAGATGGCATCATATTTTTTTAAAAAAACACATTTATGGATAAACAACAGTCAATTCTGGACTGTTTTCATAACCTCAAAAATAAATCCTGAAAAATAATTAGAGAAAAACTTTCTAAATTTCTGAAATAATAAAATTCAGTTAATCACCAAATAGATGCATGACAGCTAGGGTTATTTGTATGTTTTACGCAATAGTTTTAAGTTCTAAAGGGGCAAAAGTGAAAGGTTAATTAATCACTAAACACGAAAGCACATTGTTCTTCCAGCATTTTGAATGATCATGCAATTTAAGACTTTCTATTTCAATAATTATTAGAACATCGGTGCTTTTCTAATCAGTCACTCAGAGTATTTAAAGTGTATATTCTAAAATGTAATAGGCACAGTAGCAGGAAAGCACTCCTGTGAATTTTGTTAGATTACTTTAGGAAGGCAAAAGTTATCATTCCAGGGGAAACTGAGTCACGCAGGAGGCAGAACACACTGCTTATGGTCAAGCCCTGCATCTACATGTGGAGTCTCATTATTAAGGAAAAGGCTTCCTCAGTCATCGGACTTTGACTTTACAATGCTGCTTTAGTAGAAGTTCACACACTGCTCTGCTTTATCAGAAGTGGATCTAACTCTGGTAAAGTGCCAGTACTTTGTGGGTGTTCAACAAGCAGCAAATGAATGAATTGAATCAACCATGAGTTTTCCCTTGAATTTTCCAAGGCTTCTAATGGCGCTCAGAGGGGAGAACCTGCAGCTGTTTTGTGTGGATTGGCTGCCACTAAAACAAGATAACACCAAAGAAGTAGCATATTTAAAGCTACAGAGCCAAAACTTTCAGATCAAAGCCCAGTGCCTCCCAGTCCCTCTGGAAATACTCCACCATTCAGTAAGAAAAAAACAATTATTCTCTAAAAATTTTTAGCTGTAAGATTTTAGTTGAAACTGAGACTGAACCAGGGCCGCCTGGGTGGCTCAGTCAGTTAAGTGTCTACCCTCAGCTCAGGTTGTGATCTCAGGGTCCTGGGATCCTGCCCTGTGTCGGGCTCCCTGCTCAGCGGGGAGTCTGCTTCTCCCTCTCCCCCTCCCCCTGCTCATGCTCACTCTCCTCTCTCTCAAATAAAATCTTTGAAAAAAAAAGAAAGAAAAAAAAGAAAGAAACTGAGACTGAACAAATGAATGGACTTGGGTGATTTTAGGCAAGTTACTTAACCTACCCATGCCTCAGTTTCCCTATTTGGAGAATGGAGGTAGTAATAGTACTTACCTTGCAAGGTTATTGTTAAGGTTACAAGTGTCCAGAGCTTTGCAGAATATCTCAATTCCTTCAATACTCACCATCCAACAAATGTTTACTACATACATATATTTCTTTCCTTTGATGTTCATCGCCCCCTTTTTTTAAAGAATTTATTTATTTGAGAGAGAGATAAGCGAGAGATAGAGCATGAGCAGGGGAGAGTGGGAGAAGCAGGCTCTCCTCTGAGCGGGGAGCCCGATGCGGGACTTGATCCCAGGACCCCAGGATCATGACCTGAGCTGAAGGCAGACGTCTAACCGACTGAGCCACCCAGGCACCCCTCATCTCCACGATTTATCTGCAACTCCCAAAACCCCAGAAGTTCAGAAAACCCTAACAACCTGATCTGAGGCGTCTTGACTCCTTTAGTGAAAATATTAACCTGTTTTGCCACAGAAATATTAATTTATATACCTTCCAAAAGCCCCCCACCCTCAAATTCTAGATTCCAAGGCACTCTGGCCCCAGAGGTTTCAAATCAGCCGACTGTGGACCTATTTCAACACGATGCCCACAACTCAAGAGAAAAATAAATCGCTTTGGATTCTTAGACCCCTGGCTTTGCATCCCGGCCTGGCCATCCATTTCTGGCCTCAGGAAAACTGCTTCACTTCCCTAGCAGCTCCGGTGGTTGAGAGATCGTTCTTTATACTGCACATGGTGTGAACATCCTCGAATTCTGCGCCCCACCCCCTCTTCATTCATCCTCACCCACAGCCTCCCATTTTGGGAGATCACTACACGCCTGCATTGTTCAGGCCACCCTTCACTGCATGCTTAGCTAACTGTACCACAGGTGAATGGCGAGTGAGCCCAGTGGGAAGTTCTATGGAATTCTGAGGCTGGAGAGGCCTGGAATATAATTGGCCTATGGTGTGATGGGGCATCAGGATTTTTAAAAGCTTCCCGAGTTCAGATGAAGGAATCGGGTTGATTTGTTGGTGTTATCCTATTTGCCTTCCTTTGCACGTCTGATAGCCACGAGCAATCCAAGGAGTTAGCTTCCCAACGGGCTGCGCCCCAAAGGTAAGAAAGGTCTAAATGCACAAAGGTATACATAGCTGACAGCTTACGATGGTGCTGGTTTTAATCCACATATAAATTCAAAGGGAAAAAAGTGATTTCACCCTACCCTAGCATGGTTCACTACAGAAAGCAGCAGTAGAAAACTGGAGGATGTGGGGGACTATTCAAGATTGGTTCATTGGTCTGGACGAATTTAATTAAGGAAGCAGCTTTAGGCCAGAGCGTCTCAGTCCCGGCTGCACAGTAGACACACCCTCATACAGCTCCTCTGCAGATCAGTTGGGTCCGAATCTCAGGAGAGGGCGCCCAGCGTCAATATTTTTAAAAATCTCTCCAGGGCGGCGCCTGGATGGCTCAGTCGGTTAAGCGTCTGCCTTCGGCTCAGGTCATGATCCCAGGGTCCTGGGCTCGAGTCCCTCATCGGGCTCCTTTCTCGTAATCTCTCTCACTTGCTCACTCTCTCTCACAAATAAATTATATCTTTAAAAAAAAAACCTCTCCAGGTGATCCTATATTTGGGGTTGCCCCAGATCCACAAGCCACCTGGGGGACCCCTGGGAGCTTTAAAAACTACTGATGCTCAGGCCCCACCCCCCAGAAATTTGAATTCAATTGGCCTGGAATATAATTGGCTTCCAGTGTGATGGAACTTCAGGATTTTTACGTTTCCCAAGTGCTTATAATATGGGATCCAGCCTTTCTCCAAATGTACAGTATCCCTTTCTCCCTAAAGAGAGGTTTTCTGGCATTTTTGTTACTGGACAGAGAACCAGTTCTGAACTCAGTTTTGGCTGCTCACCACTGGAAAAGCAATACTCAAGAGACAAGCGACGGTGGGAAAGGAAAGTGGCTTTCTTCAGGAAGCTGGCAACCTGGGAAGAAGGTGGAGTGATGTCTGAAAGACCATCTTCCCTGTCTGCAGGGGGTGCGGGGTGGGGGTGCATTTAAAGGGGAAGACCCCGGGAAAGGGAGGGGGGCCATGCACAGGAGAAGCAGGTCCCTGGGCCGTTAGGCATATGTCAACATGACCATGAACAGACGTGCTAGCATCTCGGGCAGCTGGTTTTGAACGCAGTCAGGCCTCATCTTCTGGGAAGATCTGGTCCTTCGGTCCTCTGGGTCAGTGGTCTGCAAATCTCAAAGAAAGTTCTGCTACAGACCAAAGGGACTTAAGTCAGCGAGCAAGGAGTACATAAGCTTAAAGCAAGTTAACCCTTAAAACCGGTTGGGTTGCTGTTACATTTTTATTAAGAATTTCAGATACTGTAGAAATAATTTTCAATAATGTAATTTAAATGCTGATTTGGCTCAGGGCGCCTGGGTGACTCAGTCTGTTAAGCCTCTGGCTCTTGATTTCAGCTCAGGTCATGATCTCAGGGTCTTGGATTGGAGCCCCATGTCAGGCTCTGTGCTCAGCGGGGAGTCTGCTGGAGATTCTTCCTCTCCCTCTGCCCCTCCCCCTGCTTGTAAGCGCGTGCGCGCTCTCTCAGATAGATAAATCCTTAAAAATAAATACATGTTTATTTGACTCTTTACTGAACATTCACATTTTTAGGAACAGATTCCAATTTTGAAGAGTCTAAAATAGGTTGGGCATATTTCAGTGAAAATGCAAAGCATAACGCATAGCCATTGAATTGATTACCTGGCCAGAAATTTTTCCTAAGAATCACTACTATCAGATGCATTATTACCTCAATGCTGAAAAGGAGTGAAAAGAATGTGTAGTACTGATGACTTTTACTAAAAATGACCATTAATCAATTTTTTTAAATCTGTGATGTTGGTATATATCACAGGCATAATCTATTTACACATACCGCAAGAGGCTTGATATTTAAGAAATGTGTTATTTTTCACCAGGAGCCCAATCGTTAATTGGCATCCCTGTTTTTGTAGCACTTTGCCCTGTACCTGGGAGCCTAGAACAGGGGTGACAAGCCTGGCCTCTCAGTGATGGGCAGTGACTGAAGTCACGGCTAATGATCCTGCTTCATCACATGTGTCATTATTCGCTTTGCTTTATACCCACGGTTGGAAGCCAGAAGGTGCTTGCATTGCCTTGGCCTTTGAGAGCTGCCCATTTCTTCTGAGATACATCCAAACTCCTTATCTGGGCATTCGTGGCCTTTCCTTGATGGATCCTCACCTCCCTACCAGTCTCTTCTCCTGCCCAGCCCTTACCGTGCCAGCAAGCACAATGGGCGGCTCACTAGACCCGCACCTTTGCCGTTCTCCACCTGCCATACTGCAGTACCTTTCAGGGGCAAGCTTTAGGAAGCAAAAGCCCTCTCTCCTATCCTGCGCTTATGGTAATTTAGCTTGTCCTGAACCAGCCATATCCTCAGGGAAAGAGAATGTCCCTGGATCTGAGCACAGGGGAGCAGCCCAGGGAGGAGCACCATTCTACAATCTCATCCGTCCATCAGTCCATCCATCTATCCATCCAGCAAACACACTGAGGACTATGAGGTACAAGATACTATTTTAGGTGCAGAAAATACAACAAATCTCTATTTTCTTTAGGGGCTGAGTGGAGTGAGTGTGGAAAATGGATAATACCCCAAACAAACAAACAAAAAGGTAATTTTTAAGAATAGAGATGAAGAGGGGCGCCTGGGTGGTTCAGATGGTTAAGCGTCTGCCTTTGGCTTGGGTCATGATCTCCAGGTCCTGGGATCCATCCCCGCATCAGGCTCCCTGCTCCACCGGAAGCCTGCTTCTCCCTCTGCCTCTCCCCCTGCTGGTGTGCTCTCTCTGTCTCTCTCTCTCTCAAATGAATAAATAAAATCTTAAAAAAAAAAAAAGAATAGAGATGAGGAAAATAAAACAGAGGGATGGGAAGGGGCTACTTTACAGAAAGACATTTGAGCTGCGGGACCTGAATAATGAGTCAGCCAAGTGAAGAGCTGGGCCAAGAGCGTTCTGGAATTCGATTCTACAACTTTTATAGAGGGCTGGGTCGAAACACCTACACATGCCTCCCCGCCCCCCCAGCCAAATCCTTTAGGATACAGCTGAGGCAGCTCTAGGCTAGCAGACCCCCGCATTGCCTACCCGTGGCCCTTGGGAACTAGCTAGCCAGGTCACCCACTGTTCCTCTCCCCCCAGTGAGATGAGGAAATGACGTTGTGCTAACCAGAGAGACAACAAGGTGCTCTCTGCACTCATATACCTTGCCGTGGGCCCTGATGGGTGTGGCACATTGGTCAGTGGCCTGAAAACGTGGGCCTCCCCAGGATCCCCTGACCGCGTGGATGCTGCCACTCAGGTTGGACAATATGTACTCACTCTCGGTGCCCAAAGGAGACCAGTCAGGAGGCTTTCCTCTTCCTCTTTGAAGTTTTCACAGCCCTTTTAGTCACGATCTCGTCTAATCTTCAGAACGAACAGCTAGACCAGACTTGTTTAATCCGCGTCTGCGAGAGCAGTGAAGCCTAGGAATTTCAAGGCAGGCAGGTCTGGCTCGTAATCTTGGTTCTGGAAATTACTAGTGTGTGACATCTGATAAATTCCTTCCTCTCTTTGAAGGTTGGTTTCCTTGTTAGTTAAATAGAGACATTGTATCCGTCTCATAGGTTGTTGGGAGGGGACATGTGTCAAGTGTTTAGGAAAGCACCTGGCATGCAGTTGGTATTGGATGAATGTACTTGTTGCCCCTAGATGAGCGACGGGGGTCACTAAGTGTCCAGTCCCTAACTTCACCGCCAGCCCGTGCCCGTGTGGGCTGGGCTTCTTCTCAGCCCTCTCTCTGTCACGCCTGAGAAGACAAACACCAGTGCACCATTCATTTGGCATCCTGTGACCCTCCCCAAGTGCCCCGGATTTTATTGCCTTCCGGGCCGGTGGAGAACACCCAGATGTTGTAGGTTTGGGGTAACAGGCAGGGTGTGTTAACTAAACAACAGCAATCCTTGAAAAATGGTTGTCAGTGTTTACAGCCAGCTTCTGGAGAGAATAAATTATCCCCCCAATCGATCAGAGGTTGTGTCAAAATGCCAAATTAGGAACCATTAGGGACGTCTGTGTGGTCATTTGCTAGGATCAGAAAGTACTCTTGGGTAGTCTTGGTTTAGAGATAATTCCCTTCAGGGATGCCTGGGTGGCTCAGTTGGTTAGGAATTTGACTTTTGATTTCGCCTCAGGTCATGATCTCAGGGTCGTGAGATCGAGCCCCCTGTCCGGCTTCACCCTCAGCAAGGAGTCTACTTGCGATAATCCCCCTACCCCGCTCCTTATAAATTTGATAAGAAGAAAAATACCTGTAGTATTCTCCTGCCACAGAGAAAGGGGAAAAGTAGGGGCACTAGGGCATCTTTACTGGGGACAGAAGTTTAGGCAGACCTGGGGCCTCCCTAGAGTCTTTCAAATCACAAGCTGGAGGATCACCACATACAGCGTTTAGTGTCTCTTGCCCCTGGACCTTCCCATCTTCCCTCCTTACTGCCTTTCCCCAAAGGGTAGGAGCACGAACAGGTGCCGCCCTTCTAGCCAGAGTGCTCTCTCTCTCCTCTTTTCCCATAGCCACGCTTCTCAGAAGCAGCCCCCTGACTGTGTGTCCACTTACTCACCCCCCACTCACTCACGGAGCCCTTAAGGTCTGATTCAGTCCCCACAACTGGGCTGAAAGATCCCCGACATCCTGGCTGCCACATCCAACGGGACTGTCCTTTGTGTTTGCTCGCCTTCTGTCGAAACTGACGGCATTAGCAGCTGCTTTGAATGTGTACTTCCCCTCGTTTTCGGGCCCCCGGCCCCTCTTGGTTTTCCTTCCACCTTTTGGAGCACTCCTCCCACCGCTTTGCTATTTTCTGGTTGCCTCCTCCCTTGGTTTCCTCGAAGCCTGCCACACCCATACCTCCAGACTGGGTGTCTGCCCCACACTCTGGGGCCTCGAATTAGTCAAGCAGATCCCTCACCCTAACTTCCTCCTATGGGAGAGGGTGGGCTGGACCATGTCTGAGATATGACCCGCAACGTTTTAAGGTGTTATGATCGTGTTTAAGCAAGCCATGGTGCAAGTTTTACGGATGCAGAGCTTCCTGTGGGCAGAAAAAGTCCAACCTTGCAAAATCCCTAACGCTCTGCCACGCTAGGGGTCTTGGCTTATCTTAGCCACGTGCCCAGGGCTGGCTGTGCAGGGTTGAAGTGTGATGAGTTCACACAGCCCTGTGGATACTTACCAACACCTCTTTTGGGGGAATCAGAACTAAAGGCCTAGTTCCTCTATTATCCAACAGAGAGGACACAAGTTTGCTTCAGGGAGCCCTGGTTTGTATTGACTTATGTTGGCTAAGATAAAATCTTCAGCTCTCGGGCGCCTGGGTGGCTCGGATGGTTGGGCCTCTGCCTTCGGCTCAGGTCATGATCCCAGGGTCCTGGGATGGAGTCCCGCATCGGGCTCCTTGCTCAGCGGGGAGTATGCTTCTCCCTCTCCCTCTGCCTCTCCCCCTGCTTGTGCTCTCTCTGTCTCTCTCGCAAATGAATAAAAAAAAAAAAAATCTTTAAAAAAAAATCTTCAGCTGTCTTAGTACAGGAGAGTTTTATATTTATTTATTGGATAAAAACATAATTCAGACTATTAGGCAGGCCCTTTCAGGAACCTCTGATTGAACTCATTGGTAAAATTAGGTAGATATTTTAGAAATAAATATGCCCTCTTGGGTGAGAAGTCATTCTGCCTCTTGTTTACAAGACCTAATTAGGTAGAATTATAGCATAAAACTCCTTTACATCTCTGGTAGAAATGATAATACTCAATGAATAGCCACTGCAAATTTTGAAAAGGAAAGTCGTTTAGGAGACAAAGAGTCGGCCTGACACAGGGGTATGGGCATGGTGCTATGCTTGGCCTTGGGAGATCTGGTTTTGAAATTAGTTCTCACTCCAACTTCCTCCCTCTTTCCTCCTAGATTTTATTTCTCTCTGGGACCTGTCAGCCCACTAGCCCCAGGCTCCAAAGTCCCCAGATATTACTTTCTTTTCAACACGATTGGGGACGCCTGGGTGGCTCAGTCATTAAGCGTCTGTCTGCCTTTGGCTCAGCTCATGACCCCAGGGTCCTGGGATCGAGTCCTGCATCGGGCTCCCTGATGAGAGGGAGTGGTGGTAAGCACACAGACCTGAACCCGGATAGTTTGAGTTCAAAGCCTGGTTCTAGGACTTACTAGTTGGGTGACTGTGGCCACACATTCCTTTTTGCCCCAGTGTGTGTGTGGGCGGGGGGAGGGGAGTATTAAACATAGGTTTCAACCTCTAAATTCTGATGAACTGGATGTTCCCAAGTTAGGGAGTGGCTAAAGGTCTGTCACTCTGGATTGCACAATCTTTCCTTCTGTGCCTCACCCATCACAACCCTGTCCCGGAGAGACACAGCACAACCATGAGCTCACTCTACAAACCAGCTCCCGCCCTGAAACTCACTTCCTTCCCCACCTGGAGAGTTAGCTGGAAAACCAGAGCAGCCTGAGAGGGTCACCTACCTCCCTCTTTCTCAGAGCACTACACGGATCCCTACTGGTTCTTGAAAGGATAGGGTGTTCCAAACCCCCAAATGTCTTCCCACCCCAAAAGAGATTTCACAAAACTACTGCCAAAAGCCCTCTCTCCGTGTTATCTGTTAGCTCTTATAATGATTTCTCTTCTTGCAAATACCTTACCCCCAGCTGATTCCTTTATTCAACCAACCAACCGACCAGCCAATCAACCAATCAACCAGTTTTCCTGAGCTCCCTGTGCTCTGTGGGAAGCCTCTAACTTTAGAGTTATAAATGATAATTTTAGTAGTGAGCGCTGGTACGTGGGCTCACAGAGCGGGGACGCCCAGTGTAGCTGATGGGTGCACACAGGGTAGAAGAATAGGTGAAGAATGCTGTCATGGAAGGCTTGCCAAGAGGTCCCTGTGAGCTAGGTCCTAAGGTTAAGTGGCAATTAGCCCAGTGAGGGACTGGGTAAGCAAGAAAAGCTTCCAGGTAGAAGGCAAAACAACCAGATTGGGAAGGGTGGTGTGACTCCATCTGCCAGCTTCAGAGCTTGAATCGAAACCTTGATTCCCCTACTTCCTGGTCAGATGACCTTGGGCGTGGTAGCCAGAGTGGTGCCTCCCTCAACACGTCCCTGTCCTAATATCTGTATCCTGGGACTATATTATCTTACATGGCAAAAGGACCTTTGCAGATGTGATTAAGTTAAGGATCTTGAGATGGGGGAGATTATCCTGGATTATCCAAGCGAGCCCAAAGTCATCACAATGGTCCTTATGAGAGGAGGGAAGCATGGGTTCAGTGATGTGGACACGTGGCAAGGAAGCCAGGAGCCTCAAGTAGGTGGAAAAAGGTGGAAGAAAATGGACTTGCCCCTAGAGTCTCCAGAAGGAATGCAGTTCTGCAGATATCTTGATTTTAAAACTGGTTTCAGACTTCTGACCTCCAGAACTATAAGATATGTTTGTGCTGCTGTCAACCGCGAAGTTTGTAGTGATGTGTTACAGCGGTAACGGGAAGCTAATGAGGCAGGGACAAGTTATCTAGCATCTCAGGGTCTGACCGTCTGACCAGTGGGGCTATGATAGCATTTCCATCCTAGGGCTATAGTGCCTTGCATGTGCCAAGTACTCAATTGTCACGTCATGCTAAAGTGTTTGTCTTTTTATTCCATATGAAATAAGGAGCTATGGGGACATTTTAAGAAAAAAGAAGACATGAGTAGGTATGCATTTGAGGCAGATCCAATGGGGCAAAATGAAGAATGGGTTCATTGCTTGGGGAGGGAAGGCTAGCGGCTGAAAGACCACCTAGGAAGCTATAGCCATAACTCCAGTGGGGATGAGATCGAAGGCAGGCTTTCCTGCCCCCTCTGTCTCATTATCCCATCTTATTTTGAACGCTATTTAAATATTTTCTCAACACTGTTGGCTGCCAACCCAGAATTTGTTCCCCTCTTTTCCCTTTTTAACAAAACCCTAATTTTGGATCAGATGTCACCCTCCCACATACTCCCTTGGGGCAGAGACTCCATCTTGTTTGGTCCAATGGTAATCCCATGCCCTCTGCTAGTTTGGGGTTCTGGGATGGGCAAGTGACCCAATTCCAGCTGAAGAGACATGACAGGAAGTCTGTGAGGGGTGCCAGTGAAAGGTTCCTCTCCCCTGGGAGAGCCACAGGAAGAGAAGACACCTCTCCTCTCCCTCTGGCCTTGGTAACATCTGAACATGATGCCGGGACTTGCTGTAGCCATCTGACTTCCAGCTTCGCAATAAAGCAAAACAAGAACGCAGAGCAGAGAGATGGAAGGAACTGGGCCTTGATGACCTTCTTGAACCACTGATCACAAACCCCTGAAGTCTTTTCCACAACTGGAATTAAGCCAGTTTCTTTTACCCAGCAGACCAAAGCAGCCTAACACACAACCGAAGGTGATTTTATTTGTTTATATGTTTAT